GTATCTTATATTATGGGACGTTGAGACGTTGGGACATTAACACACAGCGCCATTTAGTTCCATGGTAAGCTACAAGACTTGTGTTATCGATACCAGATAGTTGATACACTACACATATATAACTTTAAATACATACATATTATAAATATAAACACCCATGACTGGAGTACAAACAATCGTCATCACACAAATGAATGCCCCCAGCGGGACTCGAACCCGCGACCGCTGGCACAGAGAGTAGGGTCACTACAAACTGAGCCAAGCGTGTCGTCAATATTATAAAATACTAGCTTTCCCCACTTTGCTCATGTCGCACTTTTACGTCGACGAACGACATATTTAGAATCCAGAACAAAAGCCATCCCCATTTACTCAACTTGTTGAAACTTGACAACGAAATATTCATATTAATTATAATATTAAAGTGATTTAATTATTGATATACGAGTTACGTAGAATCGAATGGTAAAATTATAGAAAAGGCAAAGAAAATATATTATAAGCCACTATTAAATCAAAAGAAGCGTTATGATTTCCAAAGCATTTGTAATATTGTAAAGATTCTAATTAATTCTTTTACCAACTTTTTAATATATTTATTTATATTTTACTCTAGTAAAATACTTTCTCTTCTAGTAAAATAATGCCAACCTCCCTACTCCGGACTGTTACTGAGGTTTACTATACAGAAAGACTCAATAACTAAACTTGGCCCGGCCCAGGACTCGAACCCAGGACCTCCGAGTGTGCAGCCGTACATGCTAGCCACTACAACACCGAGGCAGTTACAGTCATTATAACATGATTTACTCAGATACGAGTATCATTTGCATACATTTTTCTTTAAGCTATATAGAAAGTGGGAATTAGCCCCTAAAAACTTTTTAATTTATATAATCATTACAATAAATTCTCATCACGTATATCATGAATAGGCATTAGAAGCTATAAAGCTGATATACAGTTGTGTATTTTATCCCAGTTATCAATAGTTATCACGTTAATTGAGTACGGTGGCTCGTAAAACGTAAGACGCATCGCGGCAACTCAGATAAATAGTGGGTGAGATAGGTTATGGGTAAGCCTGGAAGGTATAATCTTAATGCAAAAACCTACTACATTGTTAGTTCTTTTTTTTATTTACTTAAAATATAGATAAAATGTAGAAATAATGCGAATTAATCATAATAATAAAATAAAAACTTAAAAAAAACACCGACTTCCAGGCACTAAAATGTAAAAAATAACTAAACGGGGTTTTCATATTTTAGAATAGATACCTAATTAGATATTTTCGAAGTCGGTGCCAGCCGACGCATAGGAAATCTAATGTATTTTGATACGTAAAATACATATTTACCTATTAGATATTCATATCTTAAAATATTGTCCGCTGGCACATATGTATAACTAGTGACTTGCCCTTTCTTCGCTTAGGTGCGTCCCTAGGTACGTGCACATAGCGTTGCTCATGTTTAATAGGAAGATCTTTTTAAGAGGGATAATTCTGTAACACATTGTTTTCATATAGCTTTATAGATTAAGCGTGATTTTTTTCGACATCTTCAACAATCATCACCAAAATCTTAATGAGTTATATACCTAAACATTCCTCATGAATCACTTGGTCCATTGGTGAAAACCGTACGAAAATCTGTTAAGCAGTTTTTAGGTTTATCGCGTTCAGACAGACAGACAGATGCGGCGGGGGACTTTATTTTATAATATGTATATATATTCGTTTATTTATTATTGTTGAAAGAAATTATTTATTATAATCTTATCTACGGACTACAATTATTTATATGTAATTTATTTGTGTGAGAGCGAGTATGTTTGTTACTTTACGCTCATGCTGGCTGGACGATTTTAGATGAAATTTAGTAGGTATACAGATAGCCTGCATACAAGCGCAAAACCAAGCTGAATCTCGAATCGTGTATCCTAAAATTATTATTTTTTATTAAAAACAACGGTGTATTTAAGCTTTTCAAACCGTAGATTCACTTACGTATATATGTAAATCCTTTTTGCACATATAAGTTATAAGAAAACAAAATACAACATAGAAACTGACGTGGACAAAGGTGGACTCTTCTCTCTCTCTTCCAGTCATGTATTATGTTAAAAAAAATTTAAGCCAAGCTATTTTTGTTATTTTTCCATTCATTTATTTTGTCCAGCTATCATAATATCATACAATGTCAACAAAGATAAAATGAGGATAATAATCAATATAAAAAATATCAAGTTTCAAAGTAGTGATCAATGCAAGTACTGACTGTCATACTATCAGTCACAATGATCAAAAATTATTAATACCAGTGATTCACTCTCACTCCGCTCGGGTTCGAGTCTAAGTACGTTTTAACGGTTAGTATAGATTTCTCAGAGATGAGATATTTTCCCGCAGTAAAAAGTATCCTATATGTTGACCCGGATAACCAGCTATCATCATACCAAATTTCATTAAAATTTGTCCAGTGGTTTTCATACCAGACCGACAGCAGACGAACAAAAATTTTAAAATGTATAGATTAGGCCTCTGTGTCAATAAAAATGACTATTTCAATGAGATTTCCCAAAAAATATTTAATGTATAGATTCGGCAAAGTAAGAAATTTGTTATACGTATAGAATAACTAAATTAATCACTCAAAATTGTGTATTAAAAATTAAAATATTGAAACTCACATATTTCATATATATTCTCGATACATTCGTGGTAGTTGTAGATTATACCAGTGAGAGAGTGATCGTATGAAAGGGGAGTGACAAACGACTGTTAGTGATGTGACGTCGCAATGACATCAGAGTTCAACAAGTTTATTTCCAATGTATGGGAGCTATTCGTAATTCTGTATGCATTTATTTAGACATTTGAACATAATTTGCTGTACACGGATTTGATATCCGTGTAGAGTAATTTTATATATATATATATATATATTTTATTTATAAACTTTGTTATATGTTATTTGTTACTATTGGTAGCCTATGTATTACTCAAAATTCTATGGTATAGTATATAGCAAATAGCTATTTATATATTAAACTAAAAAGGACAAAAACAAGTATTTTACCACCTATACAAAATCAGCTTCAGTCACTTAAAACAGTCGAGTTGTGATAAAATCACTGCTACTGTGGTAAAGTCGTGATTTTAAACAGTGAGAGACAAATGATCGTGGATGTAGAGACGTAAGCGAACAGGCGAAGGAAGTCAAGAGATGTTTTAGTGACGTGATGCAACAAGTAGGAAGTAGAGCTGTGTCTGAAGGGTATATTAGTGAATTGATAGATTAATAATTACTATCATATAGTTAGCCTATAACATATCACTGTTCGTCGTCTCTTAAAAATGAAACTTTTAAAATAGACGAAAAAAGTATTGGTGATTTAAAAACTTAAGCACTGAGGTGACGTAAAGTATATTTAAACATAACGCTACACTAACCAGTGTTTATAACTAAGAAATTATACCTTGAGAGCCCTTAAATCATACTTTCGCCTGAATAGAAATTTAAAATATCTAATATCCATCTTAATAATCTAAAGCAGTTATTTAAACTAAGGTAGCCTATTTATATGTAATACTAGCGACTCAACCTCGCTTCGCTCGGGTTCGTCCCTAGCTTGCTTCCCAATACAAATTTTCATATCCATTTTCACCCCCTTAAGGGATGATTTTAGGGATAAAAAGTATCCTATGTCCTTTCCAGGGTCTCAAACTATCTTCTTACCAAATTTCATCTTAATCGGTTCAGTAGATAAAAAGATTATCCTCAACAACTTCACAAAGTCACAATTCTCCAACTCATAAACTTTACCTCTTTATGAATTACTATAGATGTACAGCATCAAACAGATTTTGGTAAACAAAAGTAAGATGTATGTGTTTCAAATAAAAATATTTGATATAACAAATCAAAAAATGGTATAGACGTGTATGAGATACATTATGTAATGAACTAGATACTTCTTCTTTATCCAAATTTAGTAAAGCTAACCCATGAAGCTACATAACATTGAAATATTTATTATATATTTTTTCTTTAGTGAAACTAACACTGTGTAACAGACAACGCAATTTTAACCATTGTCTCTAGGAGCTTTAAATTCTGTTCAAAAGTTCCTCATATCTAAAAGGTGAGCACTAAAGAAGAATTTTTAAGGTATAAGTTTATGTGGAAATAATAATGGTTTTTAGAAGTTAAAAATGTGAAGTTTAGTATAATTTTCTATATGATAGCAATATCAGCATTAAGGTTAGACTAAAGAAAATATGTAAACGTAGAGATTTAACATGTATACAAACAAAACATTTTCACTCAATGACTCGACGCGAACACGGGAGGCGCAACAAGTCTCATTTGTCGCTGTCAGCCGACCCACGCGGCACGAATTAGACTTAAGCTTGAAATATGCTATACATCCAGTCGATTTTAGAACATTTCTATATTGGGATACGTTCAATATATAATTTTACCGACTTTAAATAAAGAAGACCTCAACGTGCCTTTCTTTATACGCATTATACAAGATATCAAACAGAAAATTTCAGCCCTAAAATTAAGATTAACATGAAGTTTTTGGTTTTAAAGTACAAGCGTATTTTACTTCTGTTTCGTCGTCGTTTTGTGTATGTTAGTCAAAATATATCTGCAAAATAATCCGAAAAAATAGTTTTATTTAAAATGTGAAATATTCGCGTAAATCGTAAATATCGTAAATATCTAAGATAGTATTAAATCACCGAACATACAAACTGGTGACTATCACCAGGTTTGAGATATGCTATAACTCAACCATCAAATGATTTTAAAATTGGACTCAGACTAAGATAATAAGATAGATGATAGTGATCTATATCTTTATGATAGTTATCTATATACAACTGCTTCGATAGTGTAGTGGCTAGCATGTACGGCTGCACCGTAGTTGCTGGGTTCAAGTTCCGAGTCGGGCAAAGTTTAGTTATTGAATCTTTCAGTTGATTAAACCTCAGTAACAGCCCGCAGTTGGGAAGTTGGCGGTGTTTCAGCCCCGTGCCTCGGAGAGCATGTATAACCGTCGGTCATGCCCTCAACTCTCACTGGTCGTGTCGAGTAGTCGTCCCTCCAGAGTATGAGAGTGACAGGAATAGATAGTGCACGTTGTGTCTGCACATACACTTGTGCACTATAATATCTCCTGCGCAGTTGGCTAGTCTCAATGGGATTGGCCGCCGTAGCCGGAATCGGTCGGGAGGACATTTCCAAAAATAATAAGTAACAAAGATATAAATCTTACTTCGAAGAGCTTACATTATCTATACTAATAAATGGAAAGCCAATTTTTTTGTTCAGTTATAATATAAGATGCAGCCTGTTTCGGAGAAGGTTTTATGGTATATGATATTTTGGTGATTAATATACTATGCGGGAAGAGCCGCAGGAAAACGCTAGTAACATAATAAAAGATGATAACAAATAGTTGTCTTTATATGTAAATGAATTTATATTTAATTTTAGTTTCTACACATAATATAGATGGTTGTCAAACACCTCTTTTTCTAGCTTTGTGCTCATACCTTATATGTAGAGTGGACTATTAAGCGCCTCACACTTTCGAATTTAATTATCAAAATTAACAATTTAATTATTTAATTAGATATCTTACCGAATTCCAATAATTAATAGCTTTCTCAGAGATATATGAAAATACCAGCTTCGTGTATTAACTTGTATCTACAGAGCTATCGAATCAAGATTACATTAATTTCTATGGGAATTTTAACGTTTGGTATAAATTTTTAAATTATAATAATTAAATTCAAATTACTATTTACAAGTTCCTGTCTGATATATCGGTATATTTGTTTATGAATATTGAGAAAACTAAGACGAAAGATGATAGGGCTCGAAATTCAGTAATATAATTTATATATATATATATATATATATATATATATAGTCTAGGATTCGCAGTAAGATCGACATTCAACTATCTGTTTACCGAAAGAAAAGTATTTTGTATGAAATATTAGATATTTACAAATATATCGTCGAAGGTTTTCCTAATAAAAGTTTACTATTTTTGTAACATTTTACTCGCTTGTTATATTAATTGCTACGTATTCTCTACCACATCAAATATAGACACAGTGTTTTTTCCCGTATGTACAGTACAGTATGTAAAATTTTAAAGGCTGTCAACATTGATCTTTAAGTTACTAGCGACTCACCCTCGCTTCACTTGGGTTCGTCCCTAGATCGATTCGTCATACAAACTTTCATCCCCATTTTCACCCCCTTGAAGAATGATATTCGGAATTAAAAATATCCTATATCCTTCCCATGGCCTCAAACTATCTTTTTACCAAACATCTAAATCAGTCCAGTAGTTTTTAAGTTTATTTGTTGCAAACATACAAAAATACAAAACACTCATCTTTATAATATTAGTGTGTAATATCACAACTAACTTAGCTTTTGCATTTTTTCTACACTCTATAGTTTAGTTAGAAATACTCGTAGATATCTATTGTTAATAGATATTTTTTTTTTTAATTAATTATGTTAAATAAAAAATGATTTTCATTCTATAAGCAGGGTAGGTGGAGGACGAAAATGTCAAAGTTCGAACCGTTACATTTTAATAATTAATTATAATTTTTGATAATCAAACAGTTACTTAGTAGCACTAAAACAAACCAACGCTAATGAAATGAAAATAAAATGACGTATAAGATACTTTATAAGCTCAAACATTTAAAATATTCACATAAACTATATTTCAAATTTCTAATTCGCGTCGTGGCTGACGTTACAAATGGATAGAGATACTTGTTGCGCCTCGTACATTCACTGAAAATGTTTGTTTATGTTTTAAACCTGAATTGTTTATTTGAGTTTATAGACTACTAGCGACTTAACCTCGTTATACTCGAGTACTCTAGCTTAACAGTAGCTTATGTTGACCTCCAGATTATACATAATCAGTCTATATACTAGTTTTTTATTTAAAACAAATATGCCACGAAACGTGCCAGCATTCCTCATCAATAACAGAGAGGTACAAGAAAACGAAGAGATCAATCGGGAAGCTGGCATCCTACATCAAAAATACCAGCATCTCCAAGATAAAAAAGACCTGAGACCACATTACCAATTTGTAACACAACGCTCTCAAAGTTCCAAAACAATCAAATGAAGAGGTCTCATCTAGCCTGATTTTTTCTAACACGAGATCATAACCTATCAATACTTTTGGGACAAATTAACAAATCACAATAAATTAAAACCAAAACTCAAAAAAAAGACACGGATAAAAAAGTTTGTGGATGATTAAATAAAATAAAAATAAACCCACAGATACAAACTTTCTCATAATTGTCCAATAATTTTACGACTTATTATTTGCATCGGGCGGACATCGAACACGCTACCGCTAGTTTACTAAGCACTAATCCACTGTGCCACATATAATTATAATGATAACGTAAAATCATCCCCCAAACGACACGAGATAATGCTTGGGTTTTTGTTTCGTCACCCATCAATCACATCTGATGGATGTGATGGCGCTTCATAAACGTATTAATTTAACTTTGCGCTGACATTGATTGATATTATCGGTATTAATGTTTTATACTATAATTACTCCCTAACCTTGATCATTGATTTGACGATATACGAACGATCTTAAGTGCTAGCTATGACTTCAAACGATTGGAAAACAGACACTCATTTTAGTGATGTGTAAAGTCCATTTTTAAAGTTAAAATAGATCTATTTAATCAGGTACCAGATAGGTATAAGGATTATTTTTCTTATTTGAAAATTAAATAAATGTTCATATTTATAAATAAATAAATACAATATGTTGGGAGATTAACACACAGCACCATCTAGTTCATTGATAAGCTGCGAGGTTTGTGTTATGGATACCAGATAGGTGATAGAATACACAAATATAACTTTAAATACATTTTATAAATATAAACACTCATGACTGGAGTACAAACATTCGTACTCATCACACAAATGAAGAACCCAGCGAGACTCAAACCCGCGTCCGCTGGCACAGCAAGTAGGGTCACCAGAAACTAGGCCAAACGTGTCGTCAAAATATATTTATAACATGTGAAGTGCAATGCAGTGATGCACAAATCAAATTAATTTTTATTTAGAAATCTATCACTAGCCCTTAAACACATAAGGTGTAAACCCACCATTCTTATACACAAAAGGGGAAAATAGAGTGGCTGTCATCAGTTCATGTCGACATACAGTCGTTTGGTCATCATTTTCATTAGAAACAGCAGTGGACTCCATTTATACTAATGTTGAGGTAAGATTGGATGGGGTCGCATAAATCCACTATAATACTTCCTATTTTATATAGAAAATGGTCAAAGATAAATCAACAATCTGATATAGAGTCAGATTGGAGATGAATAAGAATTTAATTGATCTTTTTATCATTTAAGTTGATGATGTTTTAGAAAACCTTTTATTTCAACTAACTGACTCTAATGTTTGATACTTTAAATTTTTATTAAAAAATACTTTAGGAATAATAATATATGTATAGCTAGCAGTACCCGCGGCTTCGCCCGCGTTTAAACTTCCAATATAAATATCAGTTAATACTTTCTTAGATTTACGCGAATATTTGACATTTTAAATAAAACTATCTTTTCGGATTATAAATATCAGTTTTACAGACTGCCCGATTTGTTGACAATTATGATTACTGCTTTGCTTCCTTGGGTAGTAACATAATGATATATAGCCTATAGCCTTCCTCAATAAACGAGTTATCCAATGCAAAAAGAATTTTTCAAATCGAATTATCAGTTCCTGAGATCAGCGCGTTTAAACAAATAAACAAACAAGCTAACAAACAAACAAACTCTGCCTCTTTATAATATATGTATAGATTATGTACAACCAAATCATTAAATCAATTCAGCTTCTAAATGAATCGGAAAAATATTAAATTTACCATTATATGCTTTATTATGATTTGATTTGTTAAGACGATTTCATATAAAAATTAAATATGGTAAAAATATTTCAAATAGTTTGACCTTAGAGGGTTAAACGGTCGGGCATTAATTATACGATGTTATATTCTCGTAAAGATGGGAACATACCGCCTACAATGTCAGCAGGCGCCAATTTATGTGGAATAATTTCATATGATATAATAGCAGCTTGGTCGTCTGTTTACTTCAATAAGTCTTTAATAAGTAAAAATGTTTGGCATTTTGTTGTATGTCTGTTTGTATAGACTACTGTTACGCACAATTTTTAGGTCAAATATCTTTGATTCTCGCAATTTTATTTGTAGAGTAAAATTCGTTTCGGATAATGAATTTTTTACTAATCAGTTAACATTTATCTTTTCGGATCTTTTCGCGGATTTATTTTGATTTTTGGTTTTCGACGTTCGAATGCTTTACAGCACCAATCTAAGAAATTATTATAATTTAACGTATAATTGCAAACAGCATAATTTTTTACTGAAGAAATTGAGCTCCTTTTTCCAGCGAAATTTGTTCAAGAGCGAAGTCACGGAAAAAACTTATCTACATATATATACATATCATAAAATTCAAACTGAGTCAAATCTGTACATTAAATATTTTTTTGGAAAATTTTATTGAAATAGGCATTATTATCGATAAAGAGACTGAATCTATAGATTTTAGAATTTTTGTCTGTCTGCCTGTAACCGCGTCACGAGAAAACCGCTGGACAGATTTTGATGAAATTTGTTATGATAATAGCTGGTTATCTGGGTAAACATATATGTACGATATTTTTTACTGCGGTAAATATTTCATCTCCGAGAAATCTATACTAAACGTTAAAACGTAACTAGACAAACCCGAGCGGGCCGAGGGTGAGTCGCTAGTTAAAAATATAAATCGTTTGCATCTTGAGTATTAAAGGTCACAAACAAAGACAGTATTAACTAGTCGTTATTAAGATGACCCGTTAGTCTCGTATGAAATTTACATTTAAAATGACGAGAGAGATTATAAACGACCAAGTGACAAAAATCGTTTCAAATATCTTATCTCATTTCGATTTTAATGATTGAAATTATGTATGTTGAATGCTGGAAATGTCCAAAAATTTTTAGTTAATTATGGTAGTGTCTCCCAAAAACAGTAAAATTTTACTTAAGCTAGAGCTCAATAGGGAATAAAACTTATGTTTTCTTTTATGGTTAAAACCATACCAACCATAAAACAAATCGA